TGCTCAGATTGTATGTTGAAATGTGCGAAGGTCTAAACGAGAATTCGTTCCAATAAATAATCATTAATTTACCGACTTGGATGAAGACAAAATAAATAGCATTTCTAAATGTATTTCTATAAAATATTTGCTTAGTTCACATTGTAAATAAATAGTTTCATTTGAAGTAGGAGCCGTGACCCTTGAAGGTCAAGATAAGTAGTAATGTAAATCAACACGCATAACGCAACGCTTTATGTTGATCGTCCCGATTGTATCATAAACGGTCGATTATCTTGCATATTCAGTTTTGAGCTTGTAGGTCGAATGATTCTTAGGATAAAACACACAGCCCGCTTTGAAATTGAAAACAGAGAAAGCGTTTTCAAATAGATCTTCTTCCAATTGTATTCTATACTTGACTCAGTTGACTCTATCGCGAAGTCGTAGTCGAAGTCGTCTTTCGTATTAATTGAAGTTCAGACAATTTTCAATTCCAAACTCAACAAACTAGCGAAGAACTAGATGCTAAAAGGAAAATAATAAGGACGATTACTCATCTTACTAGATAAATTGAGCATTCAAAATATTAAATCGAGCGAAATATTTGGAATCCGTTTGAGGATGTCAACAAGCATAAAGAGGGCACAGGAAGACCAATCTTCCAAAAGTGCAACAAGTATCCACGAGTTCGCCAAAGGGCGTTTTTATCGATGGGAACATTTGACTTCATCCAATGTACTCTTACCCTGCTAGCAGTCTCCTTTTAATTTCTCCCGAGCAAGAGAGAGAAAGGAGACTGCAGAAGTCGTGTAGTTCTTTTGTAATATAGTCCCCTTTGCAGCCATTTTGAGCTTGTGGATACGCGAAGCGTAGAAACGAGTGATTGTAATGGGTCTGATATGCAAATGTGTCGCTCGCTCACTCACTCACCAAGATGTTAGCAGATCGATAATTCGATAATTTCGATAATTGCCAAGGGGCATTAATTCGTTCGAGAGCCAAATGGTATGAAGCAGGTGAAAAGAACAGTTATTCTTTAAGTTTGGAAACTCACAACCATAATAAATCTTGTATTAGAAAGTTCCATTTGAAAAACTCGAGTATAACTAGAGATCCTAACGTCATTTTGAAAGAAGTGGAGGATTTATATTCCTCCTAATATAGTGAGGAGCTGGAAACAGAGTTATGCGAAAATGATCCAAATGATTTTTCCAAAAGTCCGGACATACTTCCGCTGACTGGAGAACAAAAAACTGGGTCGAAGGAAGACTCACCAAAAGCGAATGTAATAAGGCTTTGCTCACTATGAAAAACGGTAAGACTCCCGGTAATGATGGTTTGAATGCAGAATTCTACAAATGTTTTTGGCCAGTTCTTGGTGAATTAGTAGTCAATAGTTTGTACGAAGCATACGAGAAAGGAGAACTCTCCACCTCGCTGAGAAGCAGGCTATTATAAAGCTCATCAAGAAAAAAGACAAAGACAAAACCTTCCTAGGAAATTGGAGACCTATCTCATTGATAAATGTAGAAGTGAAGATCGCTACGAAAGCTCTTGCTAAACGATTAGAGCCTGTTCTGCCTCAAATTATTCACAGAGATCAGAATGCCTATATGAAAAGTAGACTAATTCACGATGGTGTAAGATTAATCGATGATCTAATGTCATATACAGAAGAACATAATTTATTTTTTTTCTGGTCCGGTATCCTAAAAAATCGTGCGTTCTGATTGGCTGTTTGAGCGTGCGGTATTTTGTCAGTATCTGCCCGCGCTCGCGGTCCGGTATCTTTTGCCACTAAACAACAAAACAAAACGATTACAAAAACAAGTAAAAAGAATATGGGGGGAAAATAATAAGTTATTTACCGTCCTATAGTCGGTCCGGATAGTGAAAAACTGTGCCCGAGGTCTCGGAATATACGGACCGGGGCCGTATCTATCGGGTTTAATGTTAGCTATTGATTTTGAAAAAGCTTTTGACATCCTAAGGTGGAGCTTTCTGAGAAAATCGCTTAGAACTTTTAATTTTGAAAATTCATTCGTTAGATGGATGGACACTATGTATAAGGATATACAGAGCTGTGTCCTCAACAATGGATATGGTAAAAGATTCTTCGGAATTCAAAAGGGCGTTAGACAGGGCGACCCTCTTTCGCCTTACTTCGTTCATCATTGCTTTTGAACTATTGGCAATTAGCATTAGATTAGTATTGATCTTTATGTGAGAGTTTTTATCATCAATCATCGACATATCAAACTTAACTTATTTGCAGATGATTGAACCTCTTTTTTGGCGAATAAAGATTCATATAACAGGTTGATGGTAATTCCGCTAAGTTTTGAAAAGTGTTCAGGTCTTAAAATAAACAAAAGTAAACTAGAAGCGTTACATCTTGGCGGAAAGTCATCAACTGAAATGAACATCGATATAAAAATTCTTGGAATCTATTTCACTTACGATCAGAATAAAGTATTAGAACTCAACCTGAAATCAATAATCAAATCCTTAAAAAAGACGNAACTGGTAAAAGATGTGCAAGTCCATCAACAGTTAACAAGCAGTTGAAGCATGTAAAACGAATCTACCCATAATCCTTGTCGTCCTCAGCTTTATTGCTTTTCAGGTGACTAACTTTATTGAAATAAGTATATAAACTATAGTTGCTTACATAGATATTACTTCATGGTTAGTGAGCGCGTACGGTTTTTATTCACGAGTTGTGAAGAATCAAACGAACGAGCGAGTCTTCACGAGTGAATAAAAACCGTACAAGCGAACTAACCATGATGTAAGTATTGAGATATTACAAGTAAAGATTTTTTGAACTTGGAGTTGAGAGAAAAATTTATTGAACCTAGAACAATTGGTCAACTGAAATAGAAATGTCGCTTTCTAATAGTGTGATAAACTTGTAAATATAAGTATACTTAGATCAGATTTGTGTACTTGTTCAATATTAAAGTGAAAACCAATCAAAAAATAACCTAATGACTAATACATGAAAAATAAACTAGCTATAAGTCAATCATGCTAAAATATGGGATAACTAGACTTGCAAAAGCACTGAAAGCGAGTAGTACACACGTAAGAGTCCTAACTAGTCTGAGTCAGAATCACTCAGCACTTTTATTCTTTTGTATCTTTTCAGTGCCGTGGGACTTTCAACCGCTTGAGATAATGTTGGCGACTGATTAAGACTGTTAATCTTAATGCTAAACTGACCGCCATGAATAACGGCACCAGAAAACAGCGACAATGCTTGTTGGCCATGTCTACTGTCAACAGAGCTTGTGGCAGAATTAAATGTTGTCAAACTATTGTTTCGTTGTTTGTCTACGACATTACATGAACTACTTTCTTTACTTACTGTTCCTGTAGTGAGGCCACAAAGTGTACGAAACATTTCGATTTGCTGTTTTTCAGACACAATAGCGTAATTATTTACGCTTTGTAAATTTTTGTGGCCTGAAAGTTGAATGATGTCTGTCGGCGGTATGTTTTTCTTCGTCAAAGTTTGCATCATAGTCTTTCGTCCACTGTGGTTTGTCAAATTTAGTTGAGTAGTCGAAATACCAGCTTTTTCTGCCATTGTCTTCATTAGTCCATTCAACTTATTTACCCCRACTGCATTTTTCTTGAACCACGGTTTTCCTGTACCTTGTTTGGAGCAGTTGTTTATCGCTAGATAAAACGGCGCGTCGTCTTCATTCATCTCAACCGGCCTTTTTTCAGCATAAAATTCATAGGCAGCAACAGGATCTTTGTCGCTTCCAGGAACTGCATACATTCTTGGAGAAATTTTTGTATATTATCCATACGAAACTTATTCCCTTCCTATGCCCTCGTGCTCTATTGACACTCGCTCACATTCCTTTATACTTACGAACGACAACCCATCCCCTTGTCCCCTTGCTTGAGTCCGAATACCTGTGTATTTCATAGTATTCTCGGATTAAATTCTGAGATTCTATGCATTAAAATTGGTCGTGGGTCGTGGGTCGTGGGTACAAAGTCGTGGGTCGTGGGTACGAAGTCGTGGGTCGTGGGTACAAAGTCGTGGGTTCCATTTTTTTTTCCAAATTTCCAAATTTATCATTTCTTCACTATACTTCTAAAAGATGTGATGTTTGTTTTATAGTTCAATTAACATAATTGCTATAAATTAACGTTGTTGTTGAAATTGTAAGTAATTTAGGTTAGGGTTTAGTTGTAGCGGATAAGTATGGAGGAAGTGAGCAAGAAGAAGAAGGTGGAAAAAGGAGAAAGGAACAATGATAATAAATAAATAGATAAGTGAATGAATAATAAATAAATAAGTAATTTATAAATAAATAAAATAAGTTATGTGGAAGGCCA